CAAGATGTGATTGACTTTAGCCATGTTACAGTTGATTCAGCCCCTACCCGCTCATTTCATTTGGGAAAGACCCTGAGGTGAATTCCCCCGCCGCACCCCTCCCGTGCCTCTTCTTCATACACGCACGGAGCACGTGAACGTTCTCAGTCAGCAGGAGCGCCTGCAGCTGCAGGGGCGCCAATTTGTTGTTTCCAATCTAGACACTGTGATATGACAGATAATAGAAAACCTCAGTGTGGCGCAGATTTCTTTTGTTTTTATTTTTTACTCAGCGCTTGTGCGCCCCTTTTGTGTCATAAAAAAATGTCGCCCATGGGCAACTGCCCTGTCTGCCCGTGCCTAAACCCGCTACTGCTTCCTGTCATCGAAAAGGCATGTGCAGACACTTACTTGTGTAAAGGCCTCATCCTAAATGTTAAACAGTCGTGTTATAATACTGCTCTGATGAGCGTGTGGCAGAAATCACAACTTTGACCTTGCTTGAACAGATGGAGTGTGATTAAAGCTGAAGGCCAAGTGAACGTGTTACAGGTCAGCATTCTGGAATCACAAAGCTCAGAGGTCCCAACTGTACCTAACCTGTAGGTGGAAGGTGGGGTTAAAGGTCAGTCAGCTGATGGCAGGATCTCACCTGGGACTTCCTCACGGGTGGCAGCAGTTCCTAAGGCCTGGCTCTGATGGCAGTCTGAGATCTCAGCAACTGAGAGTTCAGAAGCCATGGAGTCAAAGGTTACCCTGTACATGACATGAACAAAGGCATGCTAGAGAGGCTAAATTAGAAGAACGAGTGGTTAATTATCTAAAGAGATCTAATAATGATCAGTGATAACTCAGGGTGATGTATGGATGATTTTGATCTAACCAGGACTTAACACTTTTTAGCGTCTGCTGAGTTAAGGTGAACATTAATTGACTTTTCTCATTCTGCCTGATAATGTTTTGCTCATCATTTTGTTAATTATACAGCCCATTTACCAATGTGTGTTTACAAACTTATACATCTACAACAATAACTATAGTGGTAGCTAGGTGGAATAGTTTGATGGGTTTAAGGAGAAGTGAGATTGTGGTTGAAGACATATTTACTGGAAATCTTGAATTTTGGTTTATTTCTTAACACATTGGTGTTTACTTCCAGTAGAACTCGATTTGATCAGGATGAGGAATGCCCCAAAATTTAGCACCTTCATTTGGTTTGGTTGTCTTTCATACTGCCACTTTGAACCTCCAAGACCAGGGGTGAGCAATCCTGGTCCTCGAGGGCGGCTGTTCAGCGGGTTGTGCTCCAGCAACCTGATTCCTGGATGAATCACCTGTTCAGCAGCTCATCAGGCTCTGCAGGAGCCTCTTAATCACCACTAGATTCAAACCAGGTGTGTTGAAGCAGAGAAAGAAATAAAACCTGTTGGATAGTGGTCCTCAAGGACCAGGATTGCCCACCCCTGACCTCGACCAATCCACCGGGTCAAGCCATGCAGTTACAACAGATGTTCTTTAGGGCACTGTTGCCCCAAACTGACCATGAATAAAAAAGCAGGAAGAACAAGTTAGCCTATCAAAGGACAAGAACTCTGGTCTGCAGTGTGGGTGTGAAAGTGCCCTAAACTCAGCAGGACCTGAACCAGAACCAGGATCAGGCCTGTTCCTGGTTCTGGTCCTGATCCTGGCGTGTTTACTCTCTGACAACCCAACAAATCGGTTTGGTTCTGTTTCAATCAAATAGATTTGTGTATTCAGCCTAAGCCTGCAAATCTCCACAGAAGTGACTGAATGTATTTTCTGCAGACAAAAGTTGCTGAGTCATCACTGTGATTCATTCTGTTAGAGGAGAAACGGAGGAAACGAGTGAGGCTGAAACAGCAGATTCCTCTGGATTCTTTCATTCTGATTCCTTTGTTTTTACTTTAGCTTTTAGGTTAAGACAACATTGAAGTAATTGATTAAATAGATTTTATAGTCAAAATCAGACTGAGAGTGGTCAGCATCAGGTTCAATGTTCTGTTCTGGTTTCTGAGTTTGGACTGAGGCCTAGAAGCCCCATGAAGCTAGGAACTGGGTCAGTGTTTCCTCCGGGCCCATATAGCTTGTTTCCTATGTCCTGATTTCTATGTCCTGACTCTGAAATCAACAAGAAGCTAGAGGAAGTTTCACAAGATGTATGTCAGAGTCCAGCAGAGGAACCAGAAGACATGTTGGTCCCTCTCAGCTCCCAGAACAGAACATGATTCCCCAGAACACCGCTGAAGGAACCTGGGCTTCACTCTTTATCTGCCTTGTTTTAAAACAAAAGAACAGAATTTGTGACTGAATGATGTTCTGCAGTCTTGAGGGTTTAGTGACACCTCCTCGATCCAGAGCAGTTTTCTGAAGACGTGTTCTGTTGTGAATCACTTGCCATGGCAGCTTTTAGTCGATTTGCAGGCTCGTTTGTTCAGGATCTGAAAGTGAGAAGGCAGTTTTGTGTAACACAATCGACTGTGTTTGTACTTGGAACGCTCAGAGACAACAGAACCAGGAACAGAGAGATGTGTTTTCCGGGTACGTGAGTGTTTTTAGTTGTTCTGTAAAGTGTGATTCTGTTGAAGTTATTATCTTACGGGAGTTCAACTCCCTCAGATAATTTTACTGTTCAGACGGGGGAGTTACTGTTGAATTAGTGCACACTAACCACCAATGGCTGAAACACCACATTTACTTGTCAACTCTGCTCCTTTACCCAGAAGGGCCTTGTAGTACTTCACATGCACAAATTTAACAAAGTGCAAAAGAAAAATAATGCTGATGTTCCCACTCTGTGTAAAAACCTTCACAAGCTGCTTTTAGTCTCATAATTTTAATGCTTTACTGGTTTTGATTTATATTTATCTTCTCAGTCATTTCAATTGAAGCAGAGCAGCAGCTATTGAGCATTTATTATTTAGGTATTTAATTGAGTAATGCTTTGTTTGGAGTGCTATGATAGATGTGTGCTTATCATCAGCTGGTGAAAGCTGCTCTCAACCTCTGAAATCACAACCATGTGTGCTCGTTACACACGGACCTGTTGGGGCGCCGCTAAAGATCATTTCAATTTTCATTAAGTCTGCGTATTCATTTAAAACTCTTCAGAACCTTTCTCCTGACATAAACGCTACCAGTCAGTCAATGTCTCACGGCTCTGTCTGTGATTCCGACATCAAGATATTTGTGACACTGTTAGATATGATAAACGATTCTTCGATCTTTTCCATTTGGCAGATCCTCATCACGTACAAATCCTTTGTGATTTTCTACCCTTGCTTTAAGCTCTTTGCTTTGCCTCCAAACACATTACCCTACCTTGACTTTCAGGCTCCGCTATGATGCCAAGATGCAAAATTCTTCTTTTTGTGCTTTTCGTTGATGATGGGTGAACTGAAAAAGCTAACTGCTAGCCTAGCTATCGTCATAGAACACAGCTATTGTCATAAACGAGGTAGTACCTGTATGTACAGATCCAAACCACAAAACTGTTAAGTGCAGTTTCTGGTCAGCAGAAGAACACAGAGTGCTTTCTCGTGTGACATTGCTCCAGTTTCTGCATCAAGAACCACTGAAACCAGTTTGAAAGCAATAGCTGGGTGTTAAAAACTATTGGGCCATTCCCATCTGTACCGGGTCGGCCCGGGCCGGGTAGCCCCAGTCGGCCCCAGTCTGACCTGGTTGATTCCGCACATCCTTGCCTTAAGCCCATGTGGGCTGATTCTACCCACCAATCAGAGGCTTGCTCTAATGGAAGGTGTGAATTTGCTGTCAGCAGTGGGTGTGTTGGCCCTGGTCGGCCTGAAGCAGACCCCCTCGAGAAGAGGGCTGAGAATGAGCCTTGGTTAGCCCGGCAAAATACCAGGCCACCCAGATATGTAAACAACCTACGCTACCCGGCCCGGGCCGACCCGGTACAGATGGGAATGGCCCATATGTAAAGTAGCTCTAAATGACCTATCTATGCCTTTAATGGCTTTTGCATGAATCCAAATGTAGAGGTGAGTATTTGGTTCTTATACGTGATGCCAACCTTTAGTCCTGCTGTGGGTTCACGTTCTAGGAGCTGCCCAGGCCCATCTAATTAGTGTGTGTGAAATCACTGTAAACGTTTTATTAACTGCTGAGAAGCAATTCTAATCAATTAAAAATCTATTAGGATGGCAGTAAAGAACAACGCTAGTTAATCACGTTATCATCATGATAATTAGCACATGACTTTTTCCTCCCACCAGATGCACCACAGCAGATTATATCTGTGGGCTTGTCTGCATCAGCGTTTTATTTTCTGTGGCTGTTTAAAATGGGATGTTGGGATTTTTTACACTTTCTGTTATTGAGGACACATTACGGTCAAGCATGGACGTAATTTTCACTTTAGAAGTTGGGGGGGGGGGGGGGCACTGGGGTGGGGGTTGGGGTATCTTTACAGTATGCTCTAATGGGAAACAGGCTTCAACACAAATGGTTGTTTTCCGCCTGGTCCTAGAGCTCAACCAGTGTCAATTTAATGTAGCGTAATATTGTTTTTGGATGGTAAAAAGTGCAGGGGTCAAAACTTGTCTTTGGAAAAAGTGTGTGTGTGGGGGGGGGGGGGGGGACATGTCCCCCACCCCACACCCCCAAATTACGTCCATGCGGTCAAGTCACAAAGACATCTGTGGCTCAGTGACTGGTGCAGGTATGATGAAGGAAAGTTCATCCCATCTCTGTTCAGAGTGAATTTATACATGTGGCCAGTGTTCTGATGAGGGAAACTAGATCTACTGATCATTTCTGAATGTTTTTTTCGTCTGTTTCCTTCAGATTTAGCCTGTTTCCACATGGAATTAGAATCTTTTGGCTTCAGTTCTCACTAGCTCTTGTTTTGCTCAAACTTTTGCTAAGTTTTTACAGCTTGATCCGTGAGGACAAAGTCTCACTCACACTCAATCCTGTTTCTCTCCCGTCACCCCCCATCCCTTCTGCCTCCTCTCCTCTTTGTTTTTCCTCCCTCTTAGCAACAACCAAACTACTGGAGCTTCAAGGTCAGTGCCAGCTTTGTGTTTGTGTTGCAGCATAAATCTGTGTGGACTCGTCTCTAATAGGATAACTCCTTTGTGTCTCTGCATGCTTGCTTGCCTTTTCTCCACCGTGTTTAGTGTTGCTCACATGTTGATACACACTTTACTCTTGACACTTTTGTGACATACTGCAAAATTTCAGGCACTACATTTGAACTTGATCATTGCAGAAGCCTGTAGCAGGTGTTGCCTGTAAACTACCACTCTCTCTTCTCTAGTTAGGATGGTTATTGGTCCAGTTAGTGCAGTTATCACCCAGTTATTACAGTTAGTACAGCCTTTAGTACATTTGGTGCAGTATTTTTGATGTGCATAGTTACTGCAGTTACTGTTAGTACAGTTATTTCAAAGGTTCCTACAGTTACAACAATTTCTACAGTTATAGTCAGTACATGTAGTAACGCTGTTAGTACATTAGTGCAGATATTAGTACAGTTGAAGTGTAGTTATGACAATTGTGCTAAAGTTTAGTTTACTATAGTAAAGTTTTATTAGTAAAGATTTGTTAGGGAAGTTTTTCAGGTGAAGTTTTCTTTTTTGGTAGAGTTTTGTTAGAGAAGTTTTAATAATGAAGGTTTTTTTAGTGTTAGTGAGCGGGGGATCGGCAGGCGGACTGTGGCGGTGTCTGTAGTGAATCTGAACCAGCCTGTTGTGGTGGAAAAGGAGCTGAGCCGAAAGGCAGGGCTCTCAATTTGCCCAGTCCTCACCTAGGTCATGAGCTTTGGGTGATGACCAAAAGAACAAGATCGCGGATACAAGCGGCCAAAATGAGTTTTCACCGTGGGATGGCTGAGCTCAGCCTTAGGGATAGGGTGAGGAGCTCGGACATTCGGGAGAGACTCTGAGTAGAGCTGCTGCTCCTCCATATTGAGAGGGGCCAGTAGAGGTGGTTTGGGGCTTCTTGTTAGGATGCCTCCTGGACACCTCCCCAAACGTTGGAGAAAGTACATCGATTCTGCTGTGCTGTTATATTTCACTGCTCACCTGACATGAAGTTCAGTGATCGTTTGATCTCCTCCAGGTCGTCTTGAGCCATGTCTTTGCCTCGTCCTGCAGCTCTTCCTCCCGGCATCCCTGCCACTCATAGATGTTCAATTTGTGTAATCACCGCAACGCGATGTTGTTGGTCCTGTCTTAATCGAACCACTCCTGGTTCCGTGCTGCTGGACCAGGCTGGTGGGGAAATGCTGGGTTCAGTGTTGCTGGGTCGAGTCGGTGGAACAAGCCGGGTTTGATGTTGCTGGGCCGAGCCGATAGTACCACGCCGGGTTCGGTGCTGTCACAATGAGCCGGTGGAGTCACGCTGGTTCTGTGCTGCCTTCGGACTTGCTCTGGTGTTTCCTCAATCACGCTGCAGTCACAGCGAGCCGGTAGAGCCACACTGGTTCGGTGCTGCTGGACCGAGCTTGAGTCAGACCCAAACACAGAAGAGCTGAAGCTGGGTGGTAAAGACACACAGGTAGTTCTAATAACACCTGAGCTCCATGATGTCTGAGACTGATGCATCAGTGTTGCAGCGGGACTAAAGACATGATCAGAAACAGGTTACAGCTGAAAGGTCAATCTGGCCCAGAAACGCCTTGGGGCCCTACCGGAGGAGCTGGTGGAGGTGGCCGGGGAGAGGACTGTCTGGAACTCCCAAGTTGGGATGCTGCCCCCGCGACCCGGACCCAGATAGGCGGAAGAAGACGAGATGAGGTTTTTAGTAAAGTTTTATTAGTAAAATTTTATTAATAAAGTTTTGTTAGTGAGGTTTTATTGAAAAATGTGTTACTGAAGTTGTGTTAGTAAACTTTGAATAATAAAGTACGTATTTTTTGTAAATTTCTATTAGAAAATAATTTTATTTTAATAAATATTCTTTGAACAGTATAGATAATTATAAGACATTTTAGAATAATGTAGATATTTTGATCACTGTTCAGTAATACAGCTTATTAAACAATATAGAATGTTTTTAAAAAACAGATTAGTGTGGAATATTTTTTGAAAACTTATAGATACTATTTCTGATCAAGTACAAATCATTTGAACATTTTAAAATATTCTATATTTGAGGATATGCCTCAATGTCATCTTCATCATCACTGATGGTGAGATTGGTTGGCGCAATAACTGTCCTTCTCTATTTCCCAGAGAAACGTTAGTTTACAAATGCAAAATAAAGTCAATTGTTCCATTCTTTCGTTCTTTTTTAAACACAGAAACAGTTTTGTTTACCTGTTTGTAGCTACAGTTTCTGTGTTTAAAAAAGAACGAAAGAATGGATTTAGAAAGACACAGCAAGAACACACCTAAGATGTTCAAAGTCAATTGTTATTACTGTTACCATCAATATTAAGACTGTCTAAAAAAAACAACAGATTTTACCTAAAAAAAACATAATTTATTTTACGTGTTCAGGGCGTATATGTTCAAATGTGGCAGATTTGATTTTCATACTAAGATTTCACCAACATCATTGAGTTTAATATTAACAACACATTTATCCTCATTTAGCACAACTAGTCAACCTTGTGACGTGAGAGTTTCATAAACCTAGCATTGTTATTTTTAGAGATCTGACCAGAAACACGAGAGGTGACCAAGCAGTTTTCTGGCTCTGCAGACACAAATATTTGTAGTGTTATAGCCCCACACTGATCAGTGGAATTGCGCCATGGTGAAAACCGTGTCTAGCTTGATCTCTGTTCCTGTAATTCTAAGAGTTTGTGAAAAGGCACACCAACATAATTTAAGATGTGAGGGGAAGTGTCCAAATATGGGCGCTGGCCCTATAAAGGGTTATTCAACTGATCATTTGTGTTTTTCCATTTTATATTAATGACAGTATAAAATATGTTTAGAAGCCAAATAATAGTTTGTAGAAAGGACATCCACAACAAACTCCCTGGGGCAGAATTGGCTCGTTTCTGTAAGTCCTGGAGACGTCAGTATTGGACGTACTAGGGAATGTTAAAGAGCAAGTCACCCCCAAATAAACTTTTTTTTGCTGATAAACTAAATAAACGAGTGTCTACTCGTGCTGCAGACACGTATCGTCAATAATTTGGCACTTCAGTGCATCTTAGTTAAAATTTAAATATTCTGCCTAAAACTGTCAGTGTTGTGCCGTTGTCAGGTAAAAACTCTGAACTATATTTGAATTTAAATCTGCCACCGCTATTGGCTAACAGGTAGGCTATGATATAAACTGGTACATTATGATGTCACAATGCTGTCATGAGCCTGTGTGTGTGTGTATTTGTTAGCGGCTCCGCCCTCTCGGTCTGCCAGGCAACAGCATTTGTTGCATTTTTCAAACAGGAAGTGGGAGTGGAGTTAGACTCTGGTAGGGGGTGACTTGCTCTTTAAAAAAGACGTCATCTGGCGTCACAGTCTGCACCTTTGGTGGACCAAAAAATGAAGGTGAGGGAAGTGATGTGGATATGACGTCACTGAGACGCGTCTACGTGACATCGACAGGATGTCCACAAAGACCTACTATAGACCAAATGTAGCCCCTATCTGGAGGTCATGGAGAAGTGAATACCATGGTCCACAAGACGCCAATGAAAGACATCATCTGGCGCCACAGTCTGTACCTTCAGTGGACCAAAAAGGGAAGGTGAGGGAAATGACCTGGACAGGACGTCACTACGATGGGTCTTTGAGCAGTGAGCAACAATTTTTTTAAATGTCATTTCTCACACCTGTTTTAGACGTGCCCATGATGTCCAAAAAAGTTACAACCCAAGGTCCACATGGTTCACTTTATATTGACATCCAATGGGCCATTCCCATCTGTACCGGGTCGGCCCGGGCCGGGTAGCCCCAGTCGGCCCAAGCCTGGCCCGGTTGATTCCACACATCCTTGCCTTAAGCCCATGTGGGCTGATTCTACCCACCAATCAGAGGCTTGCTCTAATGGAAGGTGTGAATTTGCTGTCAGCAGTGGGTGTGTTGGCCCTGGTCGGCCTGAAGCAGACCCCCTCGAGAAGAGGGCTGAGAATGAGCCTTGGTTGGCCCGGAAAAATACCAGGCCACCCAGATATGTAAACAACCTACGCTACCCGGCCCGGGCCGACCCGTTACAGATGGAATGGGACACAAGTGGGGTCATATTTAGACGTCCAGCAGATATCCAGAATTGGTCTAGACTGATGGACTCAATATAGACTTGATCTGCATGTCCATGCGACGTTGATAGTTTGGTGGGGAAGTGTTGTTAGTAAAGGTTTGTTAGGGAAGTGTCATGTTGGCATTTAATTTTCTAACCCACATGCAGAATCGGAGCTGGGAGACAAGGTAAGAGAAAAATACTGTTTGTTAAATAAAGTGATGAGGAGTGAAGTGGTCTTGAGGAAGCTCTGACGTGCAGGGTCTGAATCTAGCGGGAGACCACAGGAGGGTGAGGAGAAGGCAGAAGGGAATGTAAGTAGTGCAGGCTGGAACAGTCTTACCAGACAACGGGGAAGTGTAGGCGCTAACGAGGGAGTTGATCTGGCCTGAGGTAGGGGAGGTGCTCGAAAGGGGATCCAGTCGTCGGCGATGAGAGATGATGGTGATGACGAATCCAAACCGTAAAGCGAGGCTGGCGGGGAGAGCATGTGGAGACGATGTGGAGTTGAGATCCGTGATGTGGAGTAATATCTGCAGCACAAGAATAACAGTCACAAGAGGTGCGGGACAAAAAACAAACACAAGAAGTCTTTCACTAAAGCTTGAGACTTGGTCGGAAACCCAAACAGAGTAAATCATCTGACGCTGTGTAGGTCTCAGACTGCTCCTCATATCGCCAGGTGATTGCAGCTGAGCTGCTCCCCGGAAACGCGCACCTGCAGGAGTGATGACTTGGTAGAGATTAGTGAGGGTAAATGCCTCAGACCATGACAGGAAGTTTTATTAATGACATCTGCCTGGTAAAAATTTGTTAGTGAAGTTTTTTTAATGTAGTTATTTTTCGGAAAAGTTTTGTTTGTGAA